GGATAACGTTGAATCTGTAAATTACTTTGGGCAGTATCCATTTTCACGATATTGATTCTTCCTAACCATGAACATGGAATGTTTCTCCATCTGTTTGTGTCCCTAGAGGGCAATTCTAATTGGAAGATGTCCAGCAGACCTAAATGGTTCTAGAGAGAGGGTCCCTCTGTCACTATGAAAAGGAAACCATTAGTTCCTTATGCCCCCTAGCTAGTCACCTTTATATTCTAATGGAAAAAGTAAAGTTTAGGGTCTCAGTACAATTCTACAATCCTTTGTTGAGCAATTACAAAATGTAGAAATCACTGGTTTTGCCTTCACCTCTCCCCCAAGCCAGGCAACCCACACTCTCTCCTCTGTTTCCCTCCAAATTGTACCCCCCATTCGATCAGCTTTTCCAGCTGCTGGTTAACCCCAGCTTTTGGGCTTGACCTCCTCTGAAGGCATTACTGGGTCCTCCTGTTTTCCTCCTACAACATCCAATGGAAGTACCAATACAGCCCAGATCACCACATGGTCCATGCTGAACCTCATGTAAAGGCAGGGGCAATGTGGATGGGAGAGAAGAAGCTTTAGTGGAAAGAAGAGAGTTAAAGTTGACTTTCCTAAATTTTCAGATTCCATTATAAGGATTCCACCCCCATAGTGGAGAGTGGTTTCTACGGTTGGAAAAATAGAAGGATGGAAACCATAGTATTGAAAAAAATGACTCATTATTTAATGGAAAAGCAACCTGGCCTTGATCTAAGCCATGCTGAAGGATGCTCTGCCTCAATGCAACCTTTCTGCTGTTCAGTCCATGCCCACTGATCATGAACCCAGAAGCCTCAAATTGCATATTTAAGCCTTTCTTTTTCATTTGCCCTTCCTTGATCTGAAACGCTTTGGTGATTACACAGTTTGAGACAGAACTCTGTCACCAGAAAGAATTGTGTTCTTTGTTCCATGGCTTCTCTTCATTGGATGTGTGTGTTGCCTTTATAAATCCTCAAGATTATTTAGCAACCTGAGACTGTGATCTGGGTGGGCAATCCATGTCACGTGCTTTATTACCATCAAACTCAAAGATGAGGGAAAAAGAACAGTCACAATCTGTCTGTTGAAACTGTTGCCTTCCCCTTGCCCAGAGCCAACACACAGCATCTCCACAGAAGAATCAGTCTGCCATGCTAAGACAAGCAGCCAACTGACAGCCAATGAGACAGGAATAATACAGAGTGAATGCAGGGGAATAGAAAATTCCAGGCAGCAGCTTCGCATGACTGGCAAAAGGAAACTATTGAAATAGCTGCAGAAGCTAGGAACTGATGAGACCCTGCAAAACTAGGGTGTGGGCCAGGCTGCTTAAGATCAACTGGACACAACATGGTACTGGATTTGACCTAGGTTTCACATAGGATCTCATTCTATGATCATTATTGTATTGAATCACACACCCCCCAGGGCCATAAAGATACAAGCCCCAAACCCTGCAGCATGACTCACTCTTGATATTCAAGTGTGTGCTCCCTTTATTGAGTGTGTACTTTTGCTTTGCTATAAATCTCAGTACTTTCACTATTTTCATACTAATCTTGAATTCCTTCTCACTATGGTGTCAAGAGCCTGGACATCAGCTGAGGTTGAGGTCTCACTGGCATTTGGGGACCATCAGTAGAATCAGAAGGCTCTTTTCCCAGTTGTATCAATGTAGTGATATGAAAAGACAACTTTCCTGCCCACATGCATTAGTAACCCACTAGGCCACTGAATATTCAGTGTCTAGGTTTCACGGAGGGTCCTGTGGTACATTCATGATTTGCAAAAGTAATTATAGATGGCAGATTTTTAAAGGAGTTGCCTTTGCCTCAGAAATACAATAAAGAAAATTCCATTTAAAAAGGATACACTGGGATATAGGGAGAAAGGGAAAAGCAAAGATATGGGTTTCTCCCATAACAGCCTTTCTTGTCCTCTTAAGGAAAACTGGAATGCTTGAGGGCCAGCTGCAGGAAAATTTATTCCAATTAAGCAAGTCTTTTTAAGCATCTTTATGCTTGTATTTGTGAGCAAAACCTTTGAATGGTGGTGTAATTCTCTGCCCATAGATGGTTTAATTAATAGCACCTAGCTTAATTCTAAGCTCATAGGTACTCAGCAAATAAGTAAATGGTTGACTCAAATGAATTCTATCACTTGGACTTAAAAGAACTCTCAGAGGAACTGAGGCTTAAAGAGGTGAAGTAACTGTCTCAAGGGCACATAGCTGGGAAGTTCTGGAATCCAGATTTCTATCCAAATGTGTTTAAGAAGTGCATGCTCTTTCTCCTGGCTGTGGAGATAGGACTAATAGGGTCATAACATCATAGTTAAGAGCACGGGCTCAGGGGAGGGTTGGGGGTGGCAGACTCCATGGATTTGAATTCCGGCTTCACAACTTAGTAGCCCAGTGACCTTGATCAGGAAACAACTTAATCTCTTTGTGCCTTAGTTTTAGCACATGTAAAATGGGGATAAGAAACGTATCTGCTTCAAAGCCTCATTTCAAGTATTAAAGGAGTTAACATATGTAAGGAACTAAAACAGTGCCTGATACCTTATACATAGTGAGCACTCAGTGCATCGTTTTAGCGATTTTACATGATTACTGAAGTCAGGGAACATATTTCATCCAGTAATAAAACATTTAATTTACATTATAAGTTTTAATTTACATTATAAGTTCCTATGTGCTGGATGTCTTGAAAATATAATGCACAATGAGAGAGTAGAGGACAGTGACTGAAAATCATCACAATCTTCTTTTGCACAAAAACTATGCGTTAGCATCATCTCCATCACCACCATCACTTCCATTATCTTCATCACCAACTTCCATTTCATAACATATTTGCTTTCCCTAAGGAGTGCCTCCTACTAACTCCAGAGCAAAAGTACTCCTGAGTATCTTTATGAGTTTGATATGTAGGTTTGGGACTGGAAATTTGAGGGGGTCTTGAGTTCCATGTCTCAGTTAATGCAATTCTTTCCAGAGTAGCCAATTAGTACACAGGAAGTCCAGCAATAAAGGCAAGTAAAAATGAGTAATCTCGAGAAACTTTCAGTTGCTTTGGGGAGGATAAAGATTTCTACAGGCCAAACCCAATTAAGGTTTGGGAAAACTCAATTTGGGACTTTAATAAAATCTGATCTCTGCTTTTATATATATATGTGTGTGTGTGTGTGTGTGTGTGTGTGTGTGTGTGTGTGTGTATAATTAATATATATGAAATATATATATATATATATCCTTATTTAAAACCCAAAACAATCCTGTGGACCAGATAGCTTATGTATTATTTTTGAGAAAAACCTGAGTAACAAAAGGTTATACAGTTCGTCTAGCACCATTCTGATGAGGCTGACAATCTGTGTCCCAAGATCCTTTAATATTCTTGTCACCAAAACCAGAGACTTCCAAAATCAGAAGATGAAAGACAAGAGGTAGAATGCAAGGTGACTTTCAAGTGCTTGAATTTCCAAGTGATTATGGTTGGATATGTGATTGTAAGTCTATGCTGTTCTTTTTAATGACTTGATTGTGAAGCTGTAAAGACAGTTCCTGCCTCTGTTTGGTGGTCTCATTAGTTTGCCATTCTCCTCATTGTTGGCAATTTATTCCAGTTTTCCTTTCCTATCTTCACACCATTCATTTCAATGCAAGGAAAAGATTTCAGAAGCCACTGCAATGCTCCCGATAGTATTAAATCTTACACTTTATATTTAAGATATTTAATATCAAAGCTGCAAAACTGCCAAATGGATAAATTTTTCTTATTGATTATACATTTAATAATTTTATGAGAAACTTCATGTTTATTTCTGTTAAGAATGATCAGATTGAAGATAGCTTAAAGAAAAAACCAGCCCGAATTCCACCACTATGCAATACGGTCATGTAACAAACTTGCACATGTACCCCTGAATCCATAAAAATACAAAAGAAGACATTTTAAACACCTATTTCTTTGGTTGTGTTACAATAACAAAGTGAAACCTTATTTTTAAGTTGTTATTTCTTCTACATGCAAAAAATATTCATTGTGGTGCCTACTAATTTATTCTCATTCTATTCATTTTAATAATTGTTATCATATTTGGAACATGTGATTACATAAAATAATCATCTTTTTGCCCAGGACAAAGTAATGAAAGAATTAGAAGAAACTTATCCCCAAACTTATACACATTTGGAGTATTTCCATCTCGTGAACTTCAGATTTATTTTCACTGTGACCTCTTATTTTGAAATTGCTTCTCAGAGTCACCTCATTTGTGCCTATCTTCATGGTAAATTGTTTTTAGCATAGCAATATTCTCAGATCAATTGCCGGTGGTAGTAATGTTAGTATCAATCATCTACAAACACGTAATAGCTGGGAGACAAATGAGATACACCACCCCTTCTTCTTTTAGCCCAGCACAATTTGCTCTAATTTCCTGGGAAGTCTGAAAACACATCAGTTAGGCATTAAGAATTCTTTCAGCTCACCTGATCTGCAGAGGCAGAAAAGTTCAGCTCTGTGAATTTGGCCAGCACCATGGACAGAGCCACGATACTACTGTGCCAGATGGTGGTTCTGAGTGCTGTCACCCAGAAGGGTCATGTAACTATTATCCTGCCTTCCTAAACCTTTACATTATTTTCCTTCAGTGAGCCCTCCTCCTCTTCCTCCTCCTCCTTCTTCTCCTCATCCTCCTTCTCCACCTTTTCCTTTTTTGTAATTTCCTAGCCCTTAGGATTTTCTGGTTGCTTACAATTTGAATTCTAGTTGTTTAGCCCTGAAGACTTTTCCCAAAATTGCAAATTGATTTCGCAATTTTTTCCATGACTCTTAACATGATTCTTTTTCGTATCATTTCTTTTGCCCCCAATATATGTCACATTTTTGCTGTTCTAAGTTGCATTCGTTTGCTTTTTTTAATGTTGGCTACTGTGTTCACCCAGCCAACCTCTCAGAAGGCTATTTGTTTTCCTTTCATTCATCAAAAATGCCATACTTAAATATGTCACAATTTGAATGTAAATGTATCCCACGTATAGCATGTGTCATCTTTTACATAGGTGATATGTCAGTCAGGATCTAGCATGACAGAGATGGTTTACACAGATGGAGTAATTGAGGAGACTTTATTGAGGGACTACTTACAAATGAATGGGAGAATCAAGCAAATGAAGCATGATGAAGCCCACAGGACTAGCAACAGACTGGAGTTGTTATCCTGTCAGGCCTAAAGATACAAGAGAATAGCGAGGTTAATAGAATCTGGAGAGGGCTTTCTGATGGGAGCTACAGCATTTGGGAAAGAAATGACGTTAATATGCAATGAGCCAGGAGAAAGGGGGCCTGGCTCAGGAAAATATAAACCCTGAGATGACTCTCCCACGCCACTCTCCAAGTTTTTAAACAGCACTTCCTGTTGGCTGAATCCAGTGGGAGGGCATAAAGCAATGAATCTCATTGACATGGTCCATAAAAGCCAATCTCCAGGAACAGCACACAGAGGAGAACCATGGAGAGGAGATCTGAAGGGAAAACAGAAATAACTAGACACATATAGTGTGCATTGTTGCATCTACAAAATAACGTTGAAAACTTGCAAAGGCATTAATAAATCCAGTTCCTATTGTAGAATCCAATTTATCTATATTGACCACTTGGTACTTATAACAAGTGACTGATCATCAGGGGTCTCTTGCTCAGACAGTTTGTCCTCTCCTAAGGATTAAAGCCAATTATTCATCATGGGGGTCCTCACTGAATGCCACTCACCACTCAATACATTAGACAAACATGAGTAGGTAATCACCGTTGTCTAACACTAGCATAGCTTAGAAAAGCCTTCAGGTGAATATATTCAGTCATACGTGAACAAGTAACATCATGTTCTACCAAAATCTTTTTCTCAATTTATTTGATGATTTATAACAGCTTTCAAACTTCCCCTTGATTGAGGTTGAACATAACCCTTAAAATCTGAAAACAGCCACAGTGCTGTGGTTTTTGACGAATCACCTCAGCTAAAAGTCGCAAGCTCATGCTTCTTATTTATTCATCTGTTCTTGCCAAGGAAACTTGCCAGCTCCTCCTGGTGCATGTCTCCTGGGAAAAATGAGAGGAGAAATAATAAGGGCACCTTGAAGAAACAATGTAATTATACATAAAGTACTGTAGGCAATGATAGAAGTTTAGATGATTTTGCCATCTCATGTGGAACTAAGAATAAGAGCCCTCCTTTCCCTGCCAGTGGAAAAAAAATATGAAGACATATTCTGGCCTAGAATATATCTTTTTAAATATTTATTTTTAATAACCATTTTAATCCTGGCATTTATATACAGCTACATGGTAAAATAACTAACTGGCTTCCCTCATGAGTGCTGAATCCATGGTTTGGCTATGTCACCCCCATACTCTAATAAGCTGGGTCAACCCGTCATCAACAAGTCATCAGATATAAATTAGTGACATGTTTATGTTATTGGCTATGAGTTAACATTGCTGTTGGGCCCAAACGAATGAAAAGTCCTTCTTAACATCTACAAATAAACAACAAATGCTTCAAATGGCACTCTCTCCACTGGCATTTAGAGGCAATGTTCGTATAGCACCATACCACTTACAACATTTCAGCTTTTTAGTCAGTAGCTTCCAATATACTTCTGCTTCATAAATTGTCCCTCACCCTAATGCATTGTTCATCTTTGATGAGCAGATATCGTAATAGACATCTGTTGTTTTTATCTGTCCAACATCCTTGCCCCTTTCTCTGGAAAAGAGCCCTTGTATTTTCCTCTGTCTAATTAAAATTTCTCCATTCTTAGTCTAGGCAATTTAGCTTAGTCTAACATCTCATGTCAGCTGCAGGAGAAGGCACAACACACAGGCTGGCCAGGTAGCTGATTTCAGTCCTTGAACTCAATTGGGAAAGAATTAGTTACATGCTACAAGCCAAATTAATGAACCACTATTCCAAAATTTCATAAACATTACTGGGGAAAGGAAACTTTCCTTTGGGTTAAGCCAACAAAGAGGGTAATGAGCCCTACAAGTGAAGATGGCAAAAACTCTGCATCCAGTCATACTTGAATCTGTAGCTACCTCTGGACCTTTGAAGGATGTGAAACCAGAAAATTTCTTCATTGCTAAAGCCAGTTAGAGTTGTAGTTCTATATCTTATAACCAAAAAAAAAAAAAAAAAAGAATTCTGATTAATGCAAGTGAGAAACTACCATCTGCAACGTGTGCAAAAATTTAAGGATAACATAACTAGGTTCTGTTACCTATTCTCAGGTCTAGGCTTCATACTTTTACATTATGGTTGAGTCTGAGCTAATACAATTTCGAAAAAGGTAAGCCTTACTTCTGTTGTCATCACATTGAACATTGCCATCTGTGTCAGATTCAGACCCCAGAAATGCTTACTTGGCCATTCTTTATTATTATTATTATTATTATTATTATTATTATTGCATTTGGGCTCTGGGGTACATGTGCACATCCTGCATCCTGTAGGATTGTTGCATAGGTACATATATGCTATGGTGGTTTGCTTTCTCCTATCCAAAAGCACACCTAATCCAATCATGTAAAACTCTAGTGGGAGAGTGGTTCACTTTTCCATGCACAAATGAGATTATTGAAAGTTTTTTTCTCTATAGCCGGGCGCAGTGGCTCACGCCTGTAATCCCAACACTTTGGGAGGCCAAGGTGGGTGGATCCCGAGGTCAAGAGATCAAGACCATCCTGGCCAACATGGTGAAACCCCGTCTCTACTAAAAATACAAAAATTATCTGGGCGTAGTGGCATGCACCTGAGTAGTCCCAGCTACTCAGGAGGCTAAGGCAGGAGAATTGCTTGAACCCAGGAGGAGGAGGTTGCAGTGAGCCAAGATTGCGCCACTGCACTCCAACCTGGCGACAGAGCGAGACTATGTCTCAAAAAAACAAAAAGTTTTTTTCTCAACATTTCAGAACACTCCCCATGTGTATTACAGATATTAATCTTTAAAGTAATCCTTTAAAATGGTTCTGAGTCAATTGTTTATACTAACTTATGAAAATATACTTTTATCAAAAATGTCTGTAGTGGTGGACCTTGCTTGGCATGTAGTGAAGATTACTGTTCGGCAAATATTCTCTTCCTTCATCCAAGCATGTTATTCTCGGCCATGATGGAACAGAAGCCTTGTTAAGTGTTTTTGCATGGCTTGGCTTGGATTTTTAAGCTCCAGTATTAAGCCATAAGAAGAGCATGTCTTGGGTAGGTAGCTGCTACCACTGCAGCCTGGGCTACAGAAAAAAGTACTTGTGGAACAGACAAAAACCAAACACAGGCTGGCACCAAGCTGAGCCAACCTGCAGCATGAAGTAAACTACTCAGCCAATCCCATTCTAGATCAGCCAAAACACAGAAAACTGTAAGGTAAGAATAAAACTCCTCGTAAGCTATTACAGCTAGGATGATTTTTTCCACAGCACTGCAGGGAAACTCTTCAACTGCTGTACTTTGTATAAATGCACTTCCATGCTTCATGTACTGGTGTATAGGTCATGCAGCCAGTATTCCTTAAGAGAAAGGAGAGGCACGAGAGAAGTGGATCCTTGATCTAAAATATTGTCATTGAATGTCAGCCCTTAACTTGATCTCAGACATAGTCTAAGCAAATAATCGCCACCCCAATTTATGTTGAGACCAAGAGGGGGAAATGACTTCCCTCAGGTCACATGACTAAAATATGACATCAAGCCAATGTCAAACAAAAGAATCTTTACTTCCAGCCTCATGATCTTCCCACAATGCCACTCTAACCTCTCTGGGGCATTTATAGATAAATTCATACTCTACTTTAACATTTCACTGTCCTTGCATTGAAAATGCTCGTTCCTCTAAGGACTAGCTTATAGCAAAATACAGAACATAAAAACTAATGATATTGGACATTTGCAAAGGTTTTCACTACCAGAGAAGGGAGGAAATGCCAATTTGTCTATTTTTTGTTATCAGTGGTGGGCAGAGTAGTTTTGGCCCAGACTGCTTCCATTTCCCTGAAAGTCTGTATCCTGAAAGTATGGGTTTATTTTGTTTTACATCTATGGCAATAATTATTTAGAGAATATACTTCTATTTTCATCTTTTTGAATGTTGTCTATTAAAGATATTAATTTTAGAAGAAAAATAACTATTGAGTACTAGGGTTAATGTCATGGTAATGAAATAATCTGTACAGCAAACTCCATGGCACTAGTTTACCTATACAGCAAACGTTCACATGTCTCCCTGAACCTGAAATAAAAGTTAAACATAAAATAAAATACTAAAATAATTGAAAAAAGAAACTCTACAGGAAGATGAACTGAGACCCTGTAGATTGCTTAAACCTGAAGTGGTATACTCGGATGATCTTAGGGCGAGAAAAGCCAAACACATGAGTCAAGAGGCTGGGTGAGGATTCTTGTGAACTGAGTATCTCAGGCCCTGGTACATGGCTTGGGGAGAACCACAGCAACTAACTCTAGCTAATTGTGACCAGGTTCCAAATCTTTGGTTATTCCAAAAGAAGTCACATCTCTGAATTTTTATATGAAATAATAAATGTTTAAAGGATCGTGACTATTTTTATTGACAGTGTGTTTCATATAAAACATACCTGTGAGCTGAATGTCACTGGTATGTAACTTCTGGCATAAATTAATGCACAGTGAATAGCACTGCAATAAACATGGATGTTCAGATGTCTCTTCACTGTACTGATTTCATTTTCTTTGCATATATATATATATATATATACCCAGTAATGAGATTGCTGGATTATTGGTATGTTCTATCTTTAATATTTTGAGGAACCTCCATACCGTTTTCCATAATGGCTGTACTAATTTACATTCTTACCAACAATACTATGAGTACTCTTTTCTCTACATCCTTGCCAGCAATTGTTACTTTTTGTCTTTTTTATATTTGCCATTCTAACTGGGGTAAGATGATATTTTATTATAGTTTTAATTCGTATTTCTGTGATGTTAGTGATGTTGAGTATTTTTCCATGTATCTGTTGGCCATATGTATGTCTTCTCTTGAGAAATGTCTGTTCAGGCCTTTTGCACATTTTTTAATTGGTTTATTTGAATTTTTGCTATTGAGTTTAGTTCATTATATATTCAGAATATTAACCCTCTGTCAGACACATAGTTTGAAAACATTTTCTCCTATTCTGTAGGTTGTTTCATCACTTTATTTATTGTTTCTTTTGCCATACAGAAACTTTTTAGTTCAGTGTAATTTCTTTTGTCTATTTTTGCTTTTGTTGCCTGTGCTTTTGAGTTTTTATTCAAAAAATTCTTGTCCACTCCAACTTCAAGATGCATTCAATCTGTATTTTCTTCTAGTAGCTTCATAGTTTCAGGTCTTGCATTTAAGTCTTTAATACATTTAGAGTTGATTTTTTTAGATGCTAAGAGGTTGGAAACTACTTTCATTCTTCTGCACACAAATATCCAGTTTTTCCAGAACAATTTATTGAAGAAACTCTCCTTTCTTCAATGTGCGTTCCTGGCACCTTTATCAGAAATAATTTGGCAGTAAAGGTGTGAATTTATTTCTGGGTTATGTATTCTGTTCCGTTGGTCTAAGTATCTGCTGTACATCCATCAACAGGTCAGTGAACAAGCAAATGGTTAGTGGTATCGGTCGCGCAATGATTCTAACCAACAATAAAAAGGAATGAAACATTGTTACACATTACAACATGGATAAATTTCAAAATGGCTGTGCTGAGTAAAAGAATCTAGACCAAAAACAAGCACACATTATGTTATTCCCTTTATATAACATTCAAGAAAAATGCAACCTCACCTCTAGTGGTATGAAGCAGAGCAGTGGCTGACTGAGGATGGGGAGTGTCGGAGGGAGGCATAGGAAAGTAGCATGAAAAATATTTTGGAGAAAATGGATATATTCATTGCCTTGACTTCAGGGATTATTTCACAGGTGCATACATATATCAAAACTAGTCAAATTGCAAAACTAGCCAAACTTCACAGTTTGTTATATGTTAGTTATACCTTAATAAAACTATTTTTAAAAATTAAAAAAGAAATTATTGCATAACGAATGTGTTATTACAAATTTAAAATAATCTAACTAGGTCCTATATTAATTATAATATATAAATTGCAGGATTTTAAAAGAGGAAATAAATCTACAAACTAGGATTGAGTGACTAATTCTAGAAATATCTGTTTGTAATGGTGTACTTTTTGGTTCACTCCAGTATCATAAGACAACAAAGTAGATATTGTATAGTGAAATTCCCTAAAAATAGACAATGCCATGTTTTGCCAAAACATCTATGAAAGGATAAAGTATTTTCAAAAGAGTAGAAAATGTCTGAGAGCATAGCCATAAACTTATAACTGTTCCTCCAGCATGTTATGTAACATTATACATCAATTTATCTACTCGGGGTAGGTCATCCAAATTCATACTAAATAGTATATAATTACCCAGAGCATTCAGATCAAAGTAAGTACGTTCCTGGAATCTTATGTTTCATTATAATGGGCAGAGTTTATCTTATAAAATTACTGTACAACTTCGAATATGTTAACTTTTATTTTACACATAATTTCTTTATCCTTTTAAATTCTTGTTTATATTTGCTAACAAGCCATATAGTTTGTTCTCTCATATTATTTCTGAGTTATAGGGAGTTTGAGAAATTAAAAAAACTCGTTGTTAAAGATAATTTCCATAATTATTTAAAGAGTAAATTGAGAAAGATTTACTACGTTGTTTAAAAGACCATGAAAAAGGAAAGAGAAATAACACAAGGTAGAGAATTCATGAATAGGTAATCACTTTCTACAGACAATAAGCAATGTTCCAATAAACCCTGAGAAATAACTAATTAATTTTCCAAGTGAGCAAACATTGTTTTGTAGTCCCATAGACCTAAAAAGGAATCTAAAGATAGTGAATAGCAATGTGTTCCTAATTTTCAAAAGAAGATTAAAAGGGCCTTTGGTTCTCATTGTTCAGCCACTTCAAATTCTATCAAAATAATAGAACCTAAATTAGCACAAGAAGCAAATTTTCACTGTACTGAAAAATAAAGAAGGAAGAATTAGCTTTTGTTTATGAAGAGTTGATTGGTCTGAATAAATTTTATGACTT